GGAATGATGGACAACCTTGTTTATTAAAGTGAGACACTTAAGACATTGTCAGTATAAAACTAGCCATTTCTTCACCTTGTTGAGGGGTCAAGTTGTACCCAGTCATTAACTTAACGCTTTGTATTCACTGTCACAAAGGTGGGTTTTTTTGCAGCGAGATAACAAACCAGAGATAGTCATCTTACTGTGAAACCTGAAATAGAGACAAAACTCTTAACAGAGCTATTTGCCAGCTCTATATCCCACCAGAGGTTGACTTCACCTAGTTTACTTTGCAGCAAAATTACAGAACCGTGTCTCTACTAGGATTTTACAGAGAGACAGCTAACATGCATTAATTAGTTAATCCATGGGTGAAAAAAAAGGTAAAACAACTTTTTCTTTTAAGAAGGAATGACACAATCTTAAAAGTAAGATTCTGAAATGCCTGCCTCACTAAATGAGAGAAAAAGTTAAACATGAAAAGGATGCATTTCAAATGACATCACAATGGACCTAAAATTGTAAATAATTCTACACTGAAAAACTAAATAAAATCTAGGTAAAAATGCACCATTAGAACAAAAAGAAACACCTCATAGGCTCAATCCTCCACTGGATTAGCAAGGGTTGTAAAACCAGGTACCTGTTAAGAGTGTCTGCTCCTAAGGAATATACAAATTCTGTACAGCGATCTGTCAAAAGATTTGTACAGATCTCCATGATAAACCTATTGCATGGCAAATACAGTGTACCAAAATACCAGAATTCCAAACCATAGTGGGGTGGGGTGGGGTGGAGTAAATGGGAGAGAAGCAAAGAGAAAAAAATGCATTCCTTTGAGATATTTGTTTTGGATAAAGCACATCACTCCATCCCACAATTAGACCCCATGCTGAGCATGATTAAAGTCAGGAACAGGTCTTAAGAAAGCATCACAGTATATAGAACAGGAAAATGTATTAAAGATTTTGAACCACCACTGATTAGGATAACACTTTGAACAGAAAAAGACTAAATGAGCTGAGTTTGATCTAGGCTATAAAACAACACAGAACAGAACACAAGTCAAGTTTATAGAGCTCCTTTTATACTCTACTGAGGACAAAGAACTTTAAAAAGATGTAGTACAGAAGAAATTGCCTATGAAAATGAGTCATCCACCATGCATTCAGAAATAGTCTTGACCATTGAGAAGGGGTCAACACTGCTGGGTTTATCTGTTCTCCAGTTGACAAGTACCAGATTGTTACTAACTTCCAACTGGATAGTCACCAGAGATCCAGAGAACAGACCTTCATTTAAAGTTTAATCCATGCATGTTTAACGGTGGCTCCTTCTGGTATTCTGTCCCACACTGAGTATGAGACCAAATCATAGCTTTCTGGCTCAAAGCATGAGTGCCACCAAGTAAGGCATGCTGATGACACATGCAGGTCTGTGGCACTGGAGTGTTTCACATCTTGCCCCACAGAAAACCATGCTGTTATACACACAATTCAGTTACAGCAGCTTTGCTGCTCAAAGCACCATGACCACATCTGCCTCTCTCACTTGGTAAACTTGTTACACTGCTGATTACAGGTTTTCAACGGTTTTTCACCGACTAAAACCCTATATATTTAAATATGTAAATAGAATGAGGTATCGGGTATGATTATTTTCTTTTTTAAGACCCTTTCACAAAGTACCATAATTGTCTGTCTTTGGACTGATGAGCACTTTGCATTAGACAGGATTTTGTTGAATTTTTTAATATATGCATTGTTACTTCTTTACATTCATCATCCCCGACTCCTGCCCTTCATCAGCCTTCACCACGCAAAAGTCATTCCCTTTGTTGTTATTCTATTGTCATCCCTCTCAATTTAGTTTCACATGTCGCACAGGTACAGGCATGCCTTTCTGTAACCACCCTGACCCAAGCTCTATGTTGCTCAATTAAGTTACCATTGTTTGATTCAGGGCCACGCTTCATGCTGGTGTAGACACAGTTTAGCACCTTTAAGATGGTTTGAGCTGTTTGGCTGTAACCTAGGCTTTTTCTGCTCCTTCGTGGCAGGCATATGGACAGAGTTTAGGGCATTATACAATAAAAACCACAAGATGTGATTAATATAATTTGTCCTAATATATGAAGAAGCCGGTGTTATATAGGAAGTTTGCAAAAATCTACCTCTGAAATAATATCTGGTACATTTACACTACAGACCATAACTGCTCCAAAGCCAACTGGACCTTGGACCTTTACATTCACACAGAGCTGCCAAAGGCAGTGGCTTGAGCCTCAGGCCCTTTAAATCACCCCCAGAGCACCAGAGGGTGTGCTCTGAGTGGCTCTGTGGGCTGCCAAGGGAGGGGCGCACTCCGTGTGACCCCTGAGAGCTCGTTGCACCAGCCCCACCCCTTCCGCTCAGGGTTCCACCCCTTCCAGGAGTGTGGAGCCACCCCAACACACACCTCGCCCAGGGTCCCAGACAGTCTGTTGCTCCCCAGCATTCACATGTGCTGATAAAACATTACAACCGACTATGGACAGAAATCTCCAGGGTTTAAGCTAAAGGCCTGCTTTCATCTCACCCTGCAGGAACTCGGTTTTCTTCTGCACCTTACATGATCTATTCACAGGAGACCCAAACAGTGAGAGATTGTAAGAGGTGTCTGTCTCTACTAGCTAGCAACATGTACAGGTGTTATTTGCTATCAGGGAAGGAAGAAATTAGCTGGTATTGGATAGGCCATTTTATCTGAGATGTTCCTGTGAATTTTAATTATGGCAGCACGCCTGAAATCAGGATTCAGCACCTATTTATGTTTTTGTACAGAACTTCACACAATGAAGTCATAGAGTCCTCTGGAGGGTCATCGACTGCAACCCTCTGCTAAAATCAGGGCCAATCCCAACTAAATCATCCCAGCCAGGGCTTTGTCAAGCTGGAACTTAAAAACCTGTAGGGATGGAGATTCCACCACCTCCCTAGGTAACTCATTCCAATGTTTCAACACCCTCCTAGTGAAATGTTTTTTCCTAATGTCCAACCTAGATTGCAACTTGAGACAATTGCTTCTTGTTGTCATCTGTCACCACTAAGAATAGCTTCTCTCCATACTCTTTGGAATGCCCCTTCAGGTAGTTAAAGGCTGCTATCAAATCTCCCTTAACTCTTCTCTTCTATAGACTAAAATAAGCTCAAATCCTCGAGCCAAGCCTCATAAGTCATGTGCTCCAGCTTCCTAATCATTTTTGTTGCCCTTCACTGGACTCTCTCCAATGTGTCCATATCCTTTCTGTAATGGGGGCTGTAAGTCTTGAGCTTCTAAGTACTACAGTAATACAAATGAATAGTAATAAATAAAGATATATAGCAAATTATCAGTAATGTAGGCACAAAAGGAGCTGGTCAAGACATGAAGCCTGGTTCTGATTTTCATAACGTTGGTATAAATTGGGAATTACTCCCACTGACACTGGTGGAGTTAACCAGTTTCACAGTAGCATAAGATCAGATTCAGATGGATCATTTCAACTTTAAATTTCTAGCTTTTGTAACGTTCTTAATATTGGTGCTCCATGCACAACTTTTTAAAAGACAGAAAAATAAACAGATTAGCTAAATGCCAGAATCTGTCAAGCTTGGGTTTATTGTTAAAACTTTTGATTTTTTTTAAAAAGATCATCAGCTGTACAGACCGTAGATGAGTTCCTATTTTTAAGTGAGTTATTTGCTCTTATTTAGGCAAAACTCCACTGATTTCAACAAGAATGTTGCTTTAGTAAGAAGTATTGAAAAGAAAGCTAAATGAGAATTAAGTGCCAGATCTGTTCATCTCTCAATGTAATAAAGAGAGCCAAAGATTCAGACTTTTAAATGCAAGAACAGAAAAGCAAACTTCTTGTTTATTTTGGCACTATGAATTCTTTGCAGTTTATCTTTGGTGTAAGAGGGAAATCCAACAAAACATTTTCTAATTCAAAAGATCATTTTCCTATCCAAAAAAGGAGAGCTTCTTTTATAAACCAACCAGCTAAAGACCATTTTGTGGGAAGTATGACTATACCTAGATTATCATTGTAAACAGCAATTTAACCATTTTTTTAAAAAATCCATCTTTTAAAAAAAAAAAGATACATCATCTGGATAGTGAGCAAAGAATCTATTCAATTGCTAAATGTGTAACAATTAAAATATTCAAATGACAAGCAAGGAACAAAATACACTAACTAAAAAGAACAATGTCTGAAGGTTGTAATTTGTTCTAACAGTGGCAATGAATTCTAAAACATGTTTCCAGAATTAAACATCTCTGCTTGGCCTGACTGGAGCATGGGAGACCCAGGCTTGGGAATGACCTTAGGTTAAATCACAATCAGATTTAAGTGGGAAAAATAAAAAGAAAGGTCACCATGTCGCCATCCCAAAAGCAATTCCTAGGGAGGCACCAGTTCAGAGAGTGTTAAAGTCCTAAGCCAGTAGTAATGGGCAATTTGGGGTATCTGACTTGACACACCTTAAAAGAGCCTGTATTTCAGAGAAGGGTGCTTAGTATTTTCTGAAAATCATGATCCTTTAAAATATCTCCAGTCAGGCACTACTGACAATCTACAATATTGCTGCTGCCACTGCTAACAATTCTGGCTACAGAACGAGACATTAAGCCAATTTAGCCACAGGGCTTCTGTTGCAATTTAGAAGTAGATTTGGGAATTAGTGAAGGATTTCAGTTTTAAATAAAGAAAATAATTGCCTTAGAATTACAAGATAGGTAAACAAACCTAGATACCTATTTAAGTAGGTCCTGATTTAATTATTCAGAGCCACCAGACAATGTTGCTTATGCTCAGGATCATATGAGAACTTTGGAGTCAGAAAGATCAGGAAAGCCCAAAAGTGGATACCATCATAAAAATGCTTCTACACTGGTTTTATACTGTTGCAATTCCAAATTCAATGGTGTAAGTGAAACCTGGTCCATGTACTCTACATAAAAGTAGCATAAATAGAGGAAGAAGACAGTCATACCTGATTATGCCTAGAGGATCTACATCTTCTTCCTCCTCTTCTTCAACATCTTGATTTTTTACTAATCCAAGTTGAGGGATTATGTCAGATGTCTTCTCCTCTTTAAAGAAATCTAACACTTCATTTTCTTCATCTTCCAGCTCCTCATCAGGAACATTTTTACCTTTCAAATCAATGACACTAGTAGACTTTGTCCCTGAAAAAAGCAATAATGCATGAAGAGCTAAGAATGACAATTTAAACTCACAGCTACACTTTGTCAATTTCTTCCACTTGTTCCCAATAGTCAAGTGTAAGGAATAGGCTCCTGTCTTTACAAACAGCTCTTGTCAATTATATCCAGCAATCTGGACTGGAGAGTTAGTTCCCCCATCCAGTAATATGCCATTCTATGCACCTCTAGATCTGAAATATCTGGTACCAACTTAACATATCTGGACTGCTCTTGGGTCAAATCTCATCAGAGAGTGTAAACTAAAAATATAATCTTGGACTGCATGAAAAATGAAGCTAGCATAAATATGTGACGTGGTTCTTTAAGTCACAAACATAAACAGATTTAAATTGGACAAAAGAAACTGGGTCCACTAGAACTGGAGTTCCCAAACTGTGATACCTGTACACATATTCCTGGGGGTACACAAGACCTCTCTGGGGAGCATGTGGGAGAAATTGTATAATGGTAGATTTTTTTTTAGTAATTATTTTATATATTGCATTTTCATAATAAGCTACTCAAACAAAGATTTAAAACTAGGTGGGAAATTTGTTATATATAATATGGTAGTTTATTTATTACAAGAGGTACCTATGAGAACGCAGATACGCAGGGCTACTGATGTACAGGGTCCTCACCTCCAACCCAGCAACTATCCATTCTAACTGATTTCAGAACTTAGTTGGGTTTTTTTCAATTGTACATGTTGCACCATAACTATATTGGTATGTAATGGTGAAATATGGACACAGATGGCTGAAGACCGGTATTGTTAAGAATACACAAAGTATCAGTGGTGAGAAGGACAGAAGTATGAGGCCAGTTGGTAGATCTGGAAGGGGGTATGCAATGAGAAAAATTTGAGAACTTTTGCACTAGAGCATGCACCACTCTAGAACCCAAGCTTCCCAAGTCTGATCCTTTCTTTGCTGTCAGAAATTATCTAAGAAAGCCTCTGGCAAAATGTTGCATCCTCCTCTAGCGCTGATCCACACAGAAGATAAAGGCCTACTATTGCTATTGGGTACTCTGTTAGCTCAAGTGGCAGGTGTCTGGAGAGGATGTAAGTATTCCACTCTTCTGATAAGGCTTCTGGGTGTCAATCTGACACCACATGGTGGAATTAATTTTTTTTCCAGCTTGCTTTTTTAAAAAACCTAGGAAATTATACATAAAAATATCTGTTTTAAGAGTATTGTTAAGGTTGCAGTGTCCAACATCCCAAAGTTAGGAAATGCCAGAATTAAGATTACTTGTGCTGCCCCTGGGATGTATGCATTATCATACGGCCTTTGCTTATTTGGTTATGTTCTATTTTTTCCACAGGACCCTCTGCTTCATTCATTTAGTGTGCAGCATTTCAATATTGTCTCCGCTCCTCATTGTTCAATGTGTCACCCCAGGCCTTATCTACTGCACACTATTCAAATCCTATTGTGAAGACAGAAATATTAATTTCCTCAGGAGCTTTCCCATGGCATTCACCACTATCGTATCCATGCACTTCACAAACATTAACTGACTGATTTTCACAACACTCCTGTGAGGCAAGTGGGTGTATTATCCTCCATTTACAAATGAGACACAGAGAGATCATGTGTCAAAGGCATTCATTAATATTGGGTTCCCACTCTGAGATGCCTAGGGCCTGGTTTTTCAGAGCATTGTATCACATTTTATACGTTCATGGTACATGACATCAATGGCATCTGTTATTGCTCAGCATTTCTGCAAATCAGACCCCGGTGTCTCAAGTCAGGCACCCAGAAAATAAGGAACATGCTCTTAGTGACCATGTGTGAAAAGATGTTTAAGTGACTTCCCCAAATCACACAGGAACCCTGCAGTACAGGCAGGGCAAAATCCAGTTTTCCAGGATGGCATTCAACTGCTGAAACCATGAGACCATCCATTCTCTTCCTACAATCCCTCCCTCTTTCACTACACATTTTCCAAGTTCAGCAAGAAATAAAGCAGGGTCTATAGACAAGATACTCCTTCAATATGCATTGAAGAAACTCCTGCTTCGTTGCCAGAGCGTGTCCATCCTGCACAACGTATGGGGCAAGGAAAAAATAGCATGTGTTAATGTCATTAAAGACTGTACCATAAAGCACATGTACAAGCAGACCGACCAATGGTGAGGGAGGGATGCGGTAGCAGCTGGAGCCCTTCAAATCACCACTGGAGCATCACACCACGTGCTCCAAGCAGCATTAAGGGCTGGGGTATGCGTCGTACTCCGGGTGGTGATGAGGGCTGGCTGCCCTAGCCCCGCCCCTACCACTCTCAGCCCCGCCCCTTCCAGGAGTGCAGAGCCAAGCCCCCCTGACTTTGCCCAGGGGATCATGGAGGCTGTCAGTGCCACTGTGAATAAGGGGAGTCTGAATAAAGGTTGCATAGGTAACCTTAATTCTGGTATTTCCTAACTTTTGAACGCTTGGCTTGCATGTGTGTGCGTGTACGTGTGCGTGTGTGTCCACAAATGAAATATTATTATTTCATTTACCTAAGAATTCCAGCAATTCAGGACTTGTTGCGAGTTCTGCATCTTTGGAGATGAGCCTCATAATGTCATTGAACACCACTCTTCGTTCTCGAATATCAGATTCCCCAACAAACAGAGCTTTCCGCGGTAATGGTGGAAGAGATGCCTGTGGATAGCGGGCAGTCAGCTTTTGGTAAAACTCGTCAATCTCACTGAACTTCTTAGAGACCTGTAATGAAGTACACATGTTGGGTTAGTTTATGAACAGACAAGAATGAAGGACAGACAGCAAAACTGCAGGGAGTTATACTCCGTGAAACATTTCCCCTGGATGTTTCAGTCTATAACATGCAGAACGCAAAAGCTTTCCATCTACCCTGGAGACAGCCTGTCATCTTTGTAGTTCGCCACACTGCATTACAATGATCCCCGGCTTCAGGAGTTCTCAGACCTCACTGCACCACAACCCTCTTCTGACGACAGAAACTACATGACTCCAGGAAGAGGGACTGAAGACTGAGCCATGCTGTCCTGGGTGGGGCAGCCAACACCTGAGCCCCTACCATCCTGGGTGGGTGAAGAGAGGAGAAGGGGATAGCAAAGGCTTCAGCCTAGGCAGGAGGCCTGTAAGCCTAGCCCCAAAACCGAGGGCTTCAGCTTTTGGTCCTAGGTGGTGGGGCTCAGGCTTCAACTTTGGCCCTGGGCTCCACCAAGCCTAAATCAGCCCTGGCAACTCCATTAAAATGGGGTCACAACCCATTCTGGAGTCCCGACCCACAGTTCGAGAACCGCTGTCCTAGTGTAATGAAATAAACCCAGCCCGTCATCAGCTAGTTGCACACACAGAGGATCACAACTTCAGACATTGTTCCTTGAAAGCATGGGTCCTAACATTTGCTGCCTGCCTGGAGAGAGATCAGGAAGTAGCAGCCTCTCATAGTGGAAAAAGTTTCAGAGATTTCTTTTCCCCAGTTTGCTGCTTCTCCTTAAGTCAAATTTGCCAACCTCGATGGGCAGCTGCTCTCTGCTATTGATGCCTGAATGTCTGCCACATTTGCTGATGTACCTGATAACCAGCAGAGAACCTCAGATCATGTTGCTACCTCTATTACATTTATACAAAAGAAGGATAAGAGATGACTTGATAGAGGACTACTATAAGGTCATCAACTGGGTATGTTTCCAGTAGGGTCCCTCAGGGATCAGTTCTTGGCTCTACAACTGTTTAACAATTTTATCAATGATCTAGAAGAAAACAAAATCATCACTGTAAAGGTTGCAGATGACACAAAAATTGGAGGAGGGGTAATTAATGAAAAGGACAGGTCAAAGTAATCTGGCCTGCTTGGTAAACAGGGTTCAAACAATCAATATGCATTGAATTTGGCTAAATGCAAACCAGTGGGTATCAGCAGCAGTGGTCAGAACTACAAATTGTTACTTCCAGGGAAAATCTGCACCAAAAAATTAAAAATTCTGAAACAAAAATTACAAATTCTGCAAACAATATTTTAAAATTCTGTATATTTGATTTGTAACAGACGTAATGCTATACTTGTCTAGCAGTTATCTCTAGGTCCTCCACAGCAGCTGAATCTTTTTAAACCTCATTCTCCTGAAATTTGTTAATGCAATAATCATGAACTCCAATGACTTCAGAGGACTGACTCTCAATTTACATTGGCATAAATAAAAAAGAAACCAGGCTCTATGTCTCAGGGAATAGGAAGGAGAACAGAACATTTCTAACTGGCATCAGGACAAAAGAAAGGCCGCGAACTGAGGCACAAGTTTTGGGTCACTGGGCTATAATTTGACCATGTTTCTGACTTGGGGCACATGTTTTTGAGAATACCCTGTTGGGAACCCACCTGAGCAAAGGCTGGACAACTGAGTAGCAGTCACCCTGATGAAAGCAAAGTTTGCTGAGGTGGAGTGAGAGGCTGGGGACAGAAACACCAGGGGCTCGTCTACACTGGCCCCTTTTCCGGAAGGAGCATGTTAATTTCAGCTATCGTAGTAGGGAAATCCGCGGGGGATTTAAATATCCCCCGCGGCATTTAAATAAAAATGTCCGCCGCTTTTTTCCGGCTTTTAGAAAAGCCGGAAAAGAGCGTCTACACTGGCCCCGATCCTCCGGAAAAAGCACCCTTTTCCGGATACTTTGAAGTAGGAATAAGAGCCTCCGGAAAAGGGCGCTTTTTCCGGAGGATCGGGGCCAGTGTAGACGCTCTTTTCCGGCTTTTCTAAAAGCCGGAAAAAAGCGGCGGACATTTTTATTTAAATGCCGCGGGGGATATTTAAATCCCCCGCGGATTTCCCTACTACGATAGCTGAAATTAACATGCCCCTTCCGGAAAAGGGGCCAGTGTAGACGTAGCCCAGGGGTAGAAGTACAAAGGCTGGCCAGGTTGTTCTGGGAATACCTTGCTAGGTGATAGAGATTATGATGGATTCTTTAAGACACAGAAACCCTTGTATCTGGAATTGCTGTGCTAAGACCTGTCATTCCCTTATTTGAGCAGGGCTCACCATAGAGTCCGATCAGTGGTAAGCAGTTCTGGGCATCTGAGCAGTGGGCAAGCAAAGCAGCAGTTGTTTTCACCCACAGGCCACAGCTTCCAGCAGCAGAGTGGGAACAACAGAGGACACAACAGTGACAGCAGAGGAATTTGTAGCCACCATTGGGTGTCAGTGCAGCGACTCCGGTGAAGCCTCCCTGTCCTAGCTGCTGAAATCAATACAGGACAAATGGTAGGACCCAGGACTGCCTATGAAACAGTGACTCCAATTTTCCAGGACTCTGGGGAATAACAAACTGTAAGTGAAGAAGTTGGGGACCACGAACTCAGAGTGGGAGTCAGAACAAATTACATCTTCCAGTCCAATTGTTTGGGACCGTGACTTATGCATGCGGGTAAATGGCAGTGGAAGGTGTGAAATTGTAACTATTCATCACATTTAACCTGGCCTTTTCATTTTCTCCTCCACACATACATACCTCTTCGCCCTACTACTACCACTACAGGTTGGGCCACCCTGGTCCAGTAGCCTCAGGACCTGACCGGTCCCAGATGAGGGATTTTGCTGGACCAGGGGAGGTCATATCTGGCCCCCTTGCTATCAGCCAGCCAACAGCCTCGCTGCCCTGCTGGTCCCCCTACTCCCCCCCGCACTTCCCTGCTACACCAAGCATACCCACTCCAGCCCAGCTCCCTGAGCACCGGGTTCCTGCCTGCACTGGACAGCCCTGCTGGGTTGTACCTAGCAGCCCAGATGCGGTGCACCAAGCAGTCCAACTGCAGAGAGCCCAGCCACCAGCCCTTCACCAGGACTCTCAGGTCCTGGAACATCCATGGTCCAGCAGTCGGACCCGGTTAACATAAGATTCAATCTGTACTACTAAGTAGTAAGTTAATGTATTCAACTACTATAAAAGAGCAACCAATCCATAGAACTACTCCCCAAAAAATATTAAATTGAAGTTAAACTGAGCAGTGGGGTGAGACCAAAAAAACCTCATTGATATTATTTTTTCTTTTCACCCCAGAAAACCTTAATCTTCCAATGCAAACCAAATATACAAATTATTCATAAATCTCAATTTGGGTTGAATTACACTGTTGACTTTAGAGCAAATATGCACCCTTGTACACTATCACTAATTAAGCCACTGAGAATCCCTGTGGGCTTCCCACGACAACCATCCATAATAGCATGCAGAATGTGCTAAATACTATGTCCGAAGCATACTAATCTGCTACAAGGAAGCCTGCATGTTATTATACCAAGCAAAATAATATAAGACAGCGCTTAAGTGCCCTCTGCTGGAATAGTCTATCATGGACCACACTCAGGATTAAATATCTAGAATATCTTTTTTCATTCTGTCAAGTAAATAAAATCAATACTATTAATCTGTAATATGTGGTTCAAAGGACTTTCTCCTATTAGCTACAATTCTTCCTGCAAACACTTATATATGAGCTTAATTTTATTCCTGTGAGGACAGGTTGGAACTCCCTGGTCTGGCATCCTTTTGAGCAGCCCCAAAATAGATAATTTGCTGGACATGGGGAGATCAATGCTCCCCTGCTGGCCACCAGCCCCACTCCTGCTGGAGTTCCCCCACCTCCACTGTCACCGCTGGGGCTCCCAGCTGGCTCCCGCTGCCAGTCTCTGGAGCTCTTGGGTCCAGCAACCGGAGCATGGTTGTTGCCGGACTAGAGAGTCCCAGATTTGAGAGATTCAACCTGCAGTTGGGCTAGATTCTCAAATGGTGTAAAATGGCATAATACCATTGTTTTAAATGCAATTATACCAATTTGCACCATTTGAGGCTCTGGCTAACCAACTTCAAAGAGACTACTTATGTGACTAAGGCTAAGAACAAGTGCATTTGCATGACTGGGGTCCTACTAATAACATTCATTTTGAAAACTCAAAATGAATGCACTTTAGCCAGAAGGATTTTGTTGCTAGGAACACATAAATAAAGTTACCATGAATAAAAATATGCTGAAATAGCTCCCCAGAAGTTCAAGGTGGAGACTGAAACTTTGACTCCAACCCTACAGGTGGATACATACAACATATCCCAGTAAATTCGCCAAGACGTGTGTGAAGTTAAGTACATGCATAAAAGAGCAGGATTGGGGCCTTTGGCAGGGATTTCCAAAGAGGCCTTCTCAATAGCAGCTCTGATTCATTTTTAGAAAGAAAGCCAACTCCACTGTTTCTATATAACAAGAGCATTCTGAACTTAAACAGAAACACAGCTGTGTTGTCCTTAGATAGTGTGACCTCCACAGCTAATGCTTCGCTACAGCCCACGCCACAATCTATAGCACTTCACAAACTGAAAATGTTTAAGCAACTTCAGATTCACAAAGGCTCTGGTTTGATGACTCATTTTCAAAGCTCACTGCTCAGACTGATATTCAACGTGAACACTGCCTTTTAAATGTGCTGATACCAGATGTTATGCAAACACACACAGGAACGGCAGCTTAACTAGTAAAATTAAATTGTTCAAAACAAAGAAATGTTAGGGCTAGAATATGACGTACAAAATATGAAAAGTGAAATGTGTCTTCCTTGATAAACTAGTTTTGATTATACACACACAAGTGAGCCAACAGACTCTCTGGGCCCCTGGACAAGGTCGGGGAGGGGGATGACCTAGAAGGGATGGGCCCTTGGGCAGAAGGGGTGGGGCCGAGGCAGTCAGCCCTCAGAGTCACCTGTACTGCCCCCCTTTTCCAGTACCATCCGGGGTTCCAATACTGATTCAAAGAGACCAGGGCTCCGGCTACTGCAAATGCTGCAGTAGTGGCAGCCAGGAGCCCCAGACCTCTTTGAATCGCAGGGCCCCTAGGGCAGTTGCCCCCTTTGTCCACCCTGCTATCAGGCCTGTACACACACAGCATATCCTGTAGCACAAATCAACAAAAAGCTGTTACCCCATTGTCACAGTTCAGGGCAACAGCTCCTGCATTGCATCTGTGTGGTCCCGAAACCAGCTGACTTCCTCCACTACCAATTCATTCCACTCTAGGCTGCCCGCTCCTCTGTTCGGCAGGGACCTGCATATCTCTCCCTCACGACCAGAGATTTTCAGGGTTGCCCTGTCCCCTGCCTACACTGTCATAATCCGAGCAAACCACACTGCTAAACAGGCCAGCGCTTGGCTTTCTCTTCAAAGCCGTGTGCTGCCTGCAGTTAGAGCTCTTCCTAAGGAAGCATGTTTATTCTTTAGCTGAGAGCATTACAGAGAAAACATAGGAAACACAATAAAAGACACGCCCCCTACACACATGCTAAAATGCTTACCAGAGTCACCCTGATTCCTGCCTCAGGCTCAGGGAGATATCGTTCCTTCAAAACCCACAACCAAGTCACAAATCATAACTGATTTAGGTTCAGAACCAGAACTCTTCAGTCATTCCTTTATTCAGTTTGAGGCTATGATCTTGGCCTCAGAAGATAACAGACCCCTCCCTAAGATGTAGCTTCAAAAGTCTGGGGGGGCTGCATAACTGGCAGTGGGGAATAGGCATACAACTGCCCCCGGGGGGGGGGGCACGTAATACTTTTTATTCCAAAAGTCCCTTCTTGTCTGGCATATTGTCCTGTGCAGAACTCAAGATCTGACAGCTCTCCTTTGAGGTTACATACAATCCTGGCCATCAACATTACATAAACCAGCCATTTATTACAACAGACCCCAAAGATACTTAAACTTAATTCAATATGGTCTTCCAAGGATATGAGTGAAAACCGACATCACTGTCATACATGCTGCCACCTCCTTACCCATTCCATTGCTAAAAATACCACAACTGTCCATCACCTCTTCGTATCTCCCTTCCTCCAGCTCCTGGTTCTCACAGAGACCATGATCTCTCCATCTGACTCTGAAGCTACCCTCCCTTAGGCTTTGTCTACACTGCCGGCAGAGAGTATGCAAATGAAGTGCTGATTAGCATACTGTTGCATTTCATTTGCATAATCTATTCAAGCTGTTTTTGCGCAAAAATAAGCAGTGTGGAAATTTCCTTTTTGCACAAAAAACCCTTTTTGTGCAAGATTTTTATGCCTTATGAGCCTCAGCTAATCTCTTTCAACATCTCCCATGAACATAATCCCTCACACCCCGTGACTCAGCTTTTCTGTGACTTCCAATCCACCAGTGTTTAGGATTTCTCATTTGCTCTCAGCCCTCTCCTCTCTAGTCAATAATTTCAATGATATTGATTCTCTTCATGCTTCACTCTTTTACACCCTTGATTCTTTTGCCTCTCTCACCCACTGAAAGGTCTGCCCTGCGAACACCCAATATCTGGATGCCCTTAGCTTGCAATTGCCAGAAGCTGCAACTGGATATCTTGATGAGTGCATGTTCTGTCCACTCCTCCTGAAGCACCTGGCATTGTCCACGGTCAAAAGACAGGATAATGTGCTAGATGTACCATTGATCTGATCCACCATGTCTGTTCTTACATGCTTATGAAATGTTAATCCAGCTTTTGACAGCAGTAGCATCTTTTGCAGATACAGAAAAACTACTTTCTTCATTTCTCTTAATTCAGCTAGCTCAGTTCAATGACGTGTTCATTCGTAGTTAGGAAACCAATTGGAAGTTAAAAAAATCAAGAAAGCTTGTTTTCTGCTTTAAATCTATGAATAAAATCTCAGCGTGAGAAAATGAGCTCTACTACTTCTAAATTTTGAAGGACATGATGACCAGAAACAATCAATTCAAATCAGTGTTTCACAACCTTTTTTTTATAAAGTCCCCTTTAAAATA